AATGATTTTTTCAATCAAAGCTAATATTAATAATAATAAAAAAAATAATAAATAAATAAAATTAGTTTATTAAAAGTTTTTATTTAGAAATTATAAGAATTTAAAATAATAAATTGTACTAATTAGGATAAAATATTTTTTTCATAAAATAATATAGTATATCAAATATAATATTTCTATTTAAAATTGATTATTTACTATGAAAACATTTCTTTTAGGTTTATTTGTTTTAATATTTATTAAAAAAAAAAAAAAAAAAAAAATATTTTATGAATTTAATGTAAATTAGAGTATATTTAATGTTAATCTCATCATCGGCATTATTTGTATTTATATGTATTGTTAAAACTGTACTCAACTTATTGTATGATATAACATATACAGAGTGAATAGCTCATAATTATTACATTCGCATTTGCATAAAAAATTAATCTTATAAATTTTCAACTGGAAATATGCAAATTATTTGATTGATAAAATAATCCAACGAATAGATACTTACTGAATGACCTGAGTATGTATTGTAATCTTGAGGAAGCTCCCAATAATACATTTTAGGGAATATCTGAAATATTTACTGCTATTTTAGCATTGACATATGCACTCTATAACTACAGAACATAAATAGGAACAAATGACTTTCGCTTGCACAGGCATGAATACGTAACGCACGCACGGCTACATCATTTCATGCACGTGCACACACATGATCAAATAAACATGTGTAAAATGTGCATGCATATCTAGTTGAAAAAACTTTTTAAAATAAAATAAGCGCACGTGAGTATTGCACACATATACAAATGTCTCTCTGTTAAATGCTATAAAAATAAAGAAAATCAACGGTAATACATATTATAGACACAACGATAATATTAATATAATGGAAGTAATACAACTATATATGTTAAATATTCTTTTTATAATTAAATTTTCTTATCGAGCTTAAAAAAAAACTATACTTAGCTCTTCATTATTAAACTGTTTATTTTGTTTCATAAGTAATTCGCGTTAATAGCATACTTTCGTTTGTTAAAATTTAGCTTATATAAAATATAGTAGGTAATATTTACTTCATTTTAAATCTATATTTATTATAGATAAATAAACTTCAATTAGGAACACAATTGAACTTACTCTATTGAATGATGAAATAATTGATAAAACAAACTCTTGCGATCCAATTTAAGTTCAAATATATATTGACGACCGATAATCCGTAAATATTGAGCGATTACTCTATAACATTATTGAATAGAAGATGTATGTAATATAACAGATTTTGCAATAAAAAAAAATAAAAAAAAGCAACCTGTAGAGAGCGATTTTGTAAATTTATGAGTATTATTTTGCATAGTTGTAAGCTAAAAACAAATAATTCTGAATCTACTAAAATCAGATAGTACTGATACATATATGTATATATGCAATTTTATAATTTAGAATTGCATAAATAATATATACAGAGAATAATTGTTTTTCAGAGTGACTATTATTGGTTTTTTAACTTTGCAGAGCTTCATACACAAAAATATTATCAGTTGCATTGAAAACTAAAACAATGTGAGTAATTTAACAAATTTTTTATTGAGCCTTTGAAGTCAATTTTTTCTTACAAACTATATATTGACATATTAAAAAAATTTTCAAATATATAGATTTCTCTTTTGAACTATATTTTTATGTTACAATTTATACAATTATATAATATTACTAAATAAGTACTTAATAATTATTAACAATGCTTTTTGGTAATAAGTTTATTTATAAATTCAATAAGAATGTAAAAAAAATTATAACTATACATATAAAATATTTAAATTAAAAATCTATTTTAATATATATTTTATATTATGTTGCTTAGGTATAAATCATTCAAGCATACTAAATTCGATATCCCTATAATACTTAATCGCTTAACCGAATAAGCTAACGAATCAAAAATGAATTTTTCGAAATTAGCTAACGTTCAAGTACATTTAATATTTTAAATAATTTATAAATTATAAATAAAAAAAAAATATATATATATATATATATATATATATATATATTGATATTTGATATAAATTAATTTAATATTAAAGATTAAAAATTTTTAATAAGTATTTGGTTTTCCAATCCAATTTTTATTATATTTATTATTTATTACATTCCATTCAATTTCAATGAAATTTATTGTCGATACTTTGTATGTAATAGAAATTTTAAAAGTTTTTTGAAAATATTTTAGGAAAATTTATATTTCAGTCAAATACAGCTCAAAATAAAGAAATATATATATAAATAATAAAAATTGGGAATTATTTATTGTGTAGAATGATTTTATAATACAAAAAATTAGAAGCTGTGAAATGAAAGCAATTGTTATGGGAATATGTTTTTCAGCTATTGAAAATTGCCTTAAGTGATGTAAGAAATTGCAATTTTCTACAACAATTTTTCCATTTGAATTTAAGGTCAACTTTAATATAGCATTTTATTAAATTCTAGCAATAAAGTTTAATTAATTTAAAATTCAATTAAATTAACGCTATTTTTCATATTTTTCTTACACTTAAACATGCAAACTTGTATAATATGCTTAAGTAATATAGGAGACTTCTACAAGAATATCAATAGAAGTAGAAATGAGAAAAATCTCTGCTGCAAAGTAGTTGAATGATTTTAGATTTGAAATTCATAGTCATTGCTCTAATAAAAAAGAACAATTTTATTTTATTGCGAATATTCTAAATGCGATTGAGTTACGAGATTTAAAATATTACAAATTAGATAATTTAAAAAACAAGTTGTTTGAAATTAGAAAAAAAAAGGATAATGTAAACATGAATTGTGCGTAAGTCGCGTGCTTCGTTAGTTGTTAAATTAAAAGGTTAGAATAAAAATTTAAGAATAATAATTATAATTGAAAAGAGAATATAAGTTTAAATAGCATACGGAGGACAGCATTGCATTTTAATAAATAATAGACAATTTATCGAATAACATTATTTACTTATTTATATATTTAATTATTAACTATTGTTTATTTTGTGTATTTATATTATTCCTATTGACTTAATATTAACGCGCATCGTAAAAACAAAATGTTACCTATTAAATTAGATAAAATCACTTTACCTTTAAGAACATTTTTTGACTTCGAAATGATGTAATCTTACACATAGTTCGTCTTTCATGAAAACAGAAAAATAGACTAACTTGAAAGAATCGAACTCGAAGTCAAGTCGTGAAAAGTGATGCTGTGCAACTGTACATAACGAATAAGATTTGATATGCAGATGCGCGAAAACGTTGAAATGAAAAGGGAAGTGATTTTGCGTAAGATAGAGAATGTGACTCGAGAAATAAAAAGTCAGTGGCGAAGAACCCAGGAATAAAAGTAAAAAAAAATAAGAAGTGAAAAATTCAATAGTGCATCGTCATGAAAAAGCATACGTAGAGAGAAGAAAAATAAAAAGGATGAAGGGAATGATCAAATGTTGATGTGAAAAAATTTTATGAATATAATATAATATACATTTATCCAACTAGTTTTTTCCGCAAAAAATAGCTTGAAATAATTTCATTGGAATTATTAAATATCATTAATATAAAATATAACGATTTTTAATTAATTGTATAACACAATAATCAAAAAATGCATAAAAAGTTATTATCTATCAACTACAATCTAAATAAATATCTGTTTTTATTTTTACGAAAATAACAGTTGCATAAATTACAAAAAAAAAGGAATAAATTGCCAGTAATACTGAGGTGAGAAACTAAATTTAGCATATTAATTACAGTTAAAATAGCACACAACAGAAAATAATAATGAAAACATAGAAATAATATTACAATCGACAAACTTATAAAAAAAAAATACAGAAATGAGATATTAAAAAGCAAACGAAAAGCACAAGCGCACAAGAACATGATGGAAAGTAAAAGGATAACAGGAAAATGAAAAGGAAGAAAGAATGCAAATGAGTCAGTGAGAAAAATAAACTTGGCACGATCTTTGCGCGTGTGCCTACACAATGTCGATAGTGTACATTCGCAAATTCAACCTCATAATCATGCCGAAGCTCATACATTTTTGCTGTTTTTAATGAAATTAATTTCTTACTTCATACAAAGGACAATATGTAAACCAGCGTGCAAAATGCATCGAGAATTTCCATTTTCCTCGCACTCTCGCTCACTCACATACGCACACGCGCGCACACATTCTCTCTCTCTCTCTCTCTCTCTCTCTCTCTCTCTCTTACTTTTTCTTTTTTTTTTACTTTTTATTTTATTCGTTACAGTTCTTTGTTCTTTTAATTACAAAAGTATGTGATACAAGTAATTGAAAGAAAACTTACAACATAAGTGAATCTCTATAAGCATTCCATTGTACTCATTATGAAAAATGAATTTTCAACGCCAAACAATTTACAATGATAATTTAGATTCTGAATCACAAAATACTCAAATACTTTTGATTTATAAAATAAGTCATTGTTCACATTTTATTTTGTTATGAAAAGTGTATAAGAATGAGTAATAACGCAAAACTTTGATGTGATTTAAATTTTAATACTTTTCAGTAATTAGATATTTCGAAATAATAAAATAAAAAAATAACGAACTAAATATACATATTAACTATTATTTTTGACTTTATATATTAAGTGATTTTTCTAGTTACATAGTAACCATATAGTTAGCTATGTGAAATTAAAAAAATAATTCATGATTAGAAAACTAATTATTTCATGATACATGCTTAAGTTTGCAAGAATAATTTTCTTTGCTGTAACTTATGAATTAATTATACACTAGGCGACTGTTTACAAAGCAAATAATTATAATGAATATTATATTATTAAAAAAAATTATGCATAATATTATTTAAGAGAATTCAAATTAATTATATTTATTTTACATTTACACAAACATTGTCATTGAGTATATAGGAAACTAAATGTATGTATATATATATATATATATATATAAGTAATGCTAGTGTCACATTAGCATTCCATTAACTAAATATCATCAAATAAATAATCCATAGTATTTAATTACTAACACGTTATACTTATTCGATTTTATTTACCAATGAAAACTTCCAAATTGGTGTAAAAATGTCGTTATTTGTCGATTCAAGCCATCTATTAAGAGAAATCCAATATTTTGTCGGAGCTCTGAATTGGTTGGGAAAAATGCCTCGCCTTGAGAATTCTTCGCAACAACTTGTAAAACTGTCGTTCCTATTGATAAATTTTGACCCTGTTCGTGCAACTGAACTCTAAATTAATTAAAATAAGTAACTCAATATTTCAAATAAATAACAAAAGCTTTTGTTCTACATCTCAATTTTGTAAAAATTTATTACATTTATCAAAATAATTGAATATTTATTCAATTCCATATTATGGCGGTATTAAGCACAACCTACAGTATCAAATTTTCAGCTTACATTTGAATTCGGTACGAGTTGTAAAATTTAATATTAACATATATTTATACTATATATTAAAAATATTTATATAACAATATATTGTACAGAACATTCTATGCTGTTAAATATATTTTAAATTATATCTACAAAATGTAAAATATTGTTTTAAATTCATTTAAAGTATTGGGAATAATATAAAAAATATAAAATTATATGTCATTGGGAATAGTTTAACTGTTATTTTACAAATGAATGAAAATTTAATCGATTATATCAGAACAAGTATATAATTAAAACTTATTTTAAAATTTTTAATGAAAATAATAACATGCTCACAGCAATTTATTTATAATTTACTTAAGATTTATTTATAATTTCACAACTTTATATAATTTATGCATTATCAGATTCTTTCAAATATGTTTGAACGTCTATTCAACAGCTACAAAAACATGAATAATGAAATGAAAATTTTGAAAGAAACGAATTTATAGTTTTTGTTTACAATGTAAAATTACATAGAATATATCACTTTATTTTTTATCAAATAAAGAATTTTTAAATTTATACATTTGCCCTTTAAAGATGGCTTATTTGTCAGAAAATTGAAAAATAATCATTTTCGTAACTGTGAAATCTACATCAAATTATTATGAATTTTATATTTGGATATTAAACGATAAAATTTCTCTTACGTAATTAAATCTTTATAGATGCTTCTGGTAATATCTAAATAAGGCTTTATTTCGTTTTCAAATTGACATAAAACTCCACCAAGTACTAATAATTCAAAAATTCGGAATATGAATTCCTGTCTTTCTTCATCAGTAAATAAATTGTATTCCGGACACTCGGTATCAAGCAACATCTAAGTCATTTTTTGTCTACTATTATTTTTTGTATAACTTATGTTAAAATGAAACAATAAATTTTGTATAAAAAAAAAATAAATATATGCCCTATGACACTTACACCTCTGAGGTTATCACAAATAACAAAATCATCAACAACGGTTTCATATCGCTGTCGAATTTTTCCTGTATTAAAAACAATTTTGTTTTCAGGATCCATTAATTTATCAAAGAAAGACATGTCTAAAATTGTGCATGCTACTGTGCAAACCTCGACGCATTCAGCTTTAATACCTATATTTTTAATTATAAAAATTAATCCATTAAATATTTTATGGTTACAATAACGCTATTTGAGTTAAAAAAAAAAAAAAAAAAAACTTTAAGTTACTTTATCGTTATGACATGTGTTACAATAACTACATTTTTTTAAGACATACTTTTATTGATCCAAGAATCTCCATCCTTATGTAACAAAGATTTGACGACTATGTCATCTTTAAAGAATGCCTGCAAAGCAGAGATTTTATTGAAAATTAATAACTTAAGGTATTGAATAATTCACGGATATTTTTTTTTAATTTTTCAAAATTTTTATTCCGCTACTAATGTTCATTGCCAATTGAAAAGAAGTTACATCTAATAGAAATTTAATATAAAAAAAAAAAAAAATTATTATAGATTTCAATTAATTTTAACATTTTTAGCATTATAAACCTACAATGTAAAATAAACAAATTACTGAAATAATTTCATTTAAAATAATTTCATTTATTACCTCAGCTATCTGATATTTGTTATAAGGTTGAAATTCTTCATTGAAGGAAAAATTTTGTATGCCAATATTACCGTGAATTCCCCTGTAATTCAATCATATAAAATTTGATGAAAAATAAAGTAAAAGAATTATATCACACACATTTACAATATTTTTTAATATTAACGTAACATTTTTTTTATATATTAATTTGTAATTTTTTTTTTTGTATTCAAGTATTTTTACATATAGTAAAAGTTAAATATTCAATTTATATGCATTAAACTTTCAATGTATAAAATTATTGAACAAAATTTTATTTAATTATTTTGTAATTACTGAATGTTGAAAATTTTTACAATTTTTAATTATTTAATATGATCCACGGCACTAATAATTTAAATTAAAATAATAATTTTTAATACTGGATAGCAGTATGTTAAGAATTAAATTTATACTATAAATTTTGATTAAAGATGTCATTTATATGCTATTCTGAAATTGTAAATAAATAAAATATACACTATAGAAATATCACATTGAATACTTTAAACATCTCAATTTCATATAAGAAAAAACTCGTCATTTTTATATACAAAATATCACTAAAGTCATATTGATATTTATATCTTAAATGTTCATAAAAAGTCAATCAAAGCCCGTTAACGAAAAAAAAAACAAAACAAAAAAACAAAAAAACAAAAGACAAAAGACTTATCAAAAAATGTACAATTACCATTTTCTAAAGTAGTCTTGCGTATCTTTATTATCAATTCCCATATATTGTCTTGCAAGGAGAGGAGTAAACGTGTACTTCGGATCGAGATCCATTTTCAAACAAACTCGAGGTTGCCTTAGCAACTTGGCCAATGAAGATTATGTACAGCATATATTGCTTAATGAAACTACGTGTAAATTTTCTATAAAATCAAACTGTTGCGTACGATAATAC